CCGCACCAGGCGGCTCCAGCCTTCCAGAAGTAGATGAGGTCGACGAGGGGCTGCGCGCAGCGCGTGCAGACGAAGCAGGCCGGGTGCCACTGCCGCGCGTAGCCGGCGCGGTCGGCGTACACCACGGGGCAGTCTCCGGCCACTGCCTGCTTGCAGGTCTCGCAGTGCTGCAAGAGAAATGGGAGTGAGCATGGGATGGGTGGCATGGAAGCAGAGCAGCTGGGAGTGTGTTTGTCCCTCACCTCAAAGCCCTGCAGGATTGCAGCCATGAGGAGGCTCATTGGGATGATATGAATGTCTTTGGTTCAAAGGTATAAGGGAGAACAGGGTGCTGAGTGGCTTGTTTGAGATCTTGGGGTGGGTATTGATTTCCCAGCCTTGCTGACTCGCAGCATCTTCTCCATGCATTGCTCTGTGCTACCTGGCTGGCCAGAAATCCTCTTAGCAAAACAGAACAAACTGATCTCCTAGAGCATCCTCAATGCTTCCCACTTCTACGCAGGCTGGAGGACCTGCCATGGTGCTGCTCCACATCCCACAGCATCAAAGACAGTAGAAATTGAGCTCAAGCAACACCAAGAGCATCAAAGAACAGCAGGACCAGTCTCCAAGACTATCACTCCCCATTCTGGGCCAGTGCTATGGACAGGCAGTGTCATGTTATAGTATAATTAAAAGTTATTATAGATATATTTGTCACTCTTCACCTGGACTACTGCTCACTTTCTTCCAGCCAGGACCTCAGGCAGGTAAGAACAGCACTATCCACCACCAGCTAAGTCTCTGGCCTTTGGGACATTCCCCCAAGCTAAAACCTTCACTAAAATCCAGAAGTCATGCAAGAGAGTTAAGGATTCCTGTAGTGCAGCACAAAGATATAATTTTGCACAGAGCTTAGGAACTTTGGTCTTTTCTCACTGTTTTCAGGCTGTGCTTAGCTCAGATGTCACTCCATAGGTTTCAGTGCAGTGCTTCCCACTCCCAGCAAGCTAAAGAAGCAGAATTAGCTGTGGCTAATCTGGAGATTAACTGCATCCATGTGCATTTCACACAAGACCAACCAGTTGGCTCTTTATCTGTGCCTGCAGAGTGATCCTGCGATTAGTGAAGAGCCAGCTCTAAATCTCCCTCAGACTGATGGGATGTTGTTCCAGCTCCCATTGAAGCTGCATAGTCCAGGTCAGGGTAAGGGCTTCCGAGTCTGGGCTTTGTCACTCCTTACAAGAAACTCTTCAGTAGCAGCTGGAATCTCTTCCAGCAGAGCCTTGGCTGGATTTCTACCAGCAATCCCTGCAGCAGCCTGGCCAAGGCTCTCGTGCCCCCACGAGGCAGTGGGAGCTGCTTGTGTGTCACACAGGTTGTGGTGACACTGCTGTGCCTGAGCAGAGCATTGTTCCTGCTCCAGCACACTCCAGGTAGTACAGGGTCAGGGACTGGGAATGTCCCTGTGCTCAGATGACAACTTCACTTGCAAACACCCTGATTTAGAATCAACAGCTTCTAATAGGTGGGTGGAAATACAGAACCATAGCATGGTTTGGGTTGGGGGCCTTAGAGATCACCTAGCTCTACCTCCCTGCCATGGGCAGGGACACCTTCCACTGGAGCAGGTTGCTCAAGAGGAGACACAAAAATAAGATTTCTCAGAAGATAAACTAACAGTCCCTGAGCTGCAGGAGGACATCAGGGACAGGGCAGGGACAGAGGAAGGGGCAAGTTCCCCATCATTGCAACCAGCCCCTTCCACAGCTCACCTGTAAGAGCTGGAGACACTGTTCTTTGCACCTAGGGAGCTTCCTTACTCTCACCACTCCTGTTACACAGCAGGAGGCCACAGGACTATCTACACCTTTTCCCTGGTCACTGATATTTCCAGCGCCCTACACATCCACCATCACCTCCTCCCTCATGCAGCTGGATTTCCAGTAACTGCCCTGCTGCCCTTGGAGTGGTTCCACAGCACTGATGGGCATCTCCTGCTTCCCCAGGTAATCCAGTGTGATGAGAAGAGGCAGTGCAAGAGAAGAGTCAGAATGTTTCCTGGCTTGGCTGTTCTGTGCAGCTGAAAGGAGATATGTCTGTGGACACCACTCCCTCCACCATGGAGACTTCCACACATTTCCAAGCACTCCCAAATCCCACATCAGGGGCAAAACTCAGCATGACACAGTGGCAGAGCACCACTCCTGGCACACTGGCAGCACGGATCAACAGGCACCAAGGAATTCCTCACCCATCATACAGGACCAAGGCCTTTTCCAAGCTCCTGATACCTCCCCTGAGGCACCAGATTTGGGTGACTCAGGGCCCCAGAGCCAATGTCCCAGCCCTGCTTATCTTGCAGGATCTAGAGCAAGAACAAACACAGCAGTTTCCAACCCCAAGCTCAAGTTTCTTGCCAACAAGAACTGTTAGAAGAACAACTTATTTTGCTGTTTCTTTCTTTGGAAACTAGTCACAGGGAAAAATTATTCCCAGGGCTTTTCCCAAGCATTGTATAACCTCCATCCCCTGCCATTTACACTCAACAGGAAAGTGACTCTTCCAATTTGAGATGGGATTACAGCTTGGTGCTTGTTTTACATCTCCATCATGCAGGGAGAGGAGTGAAGACTTTATTAGCCGAATTTCCAGAGGTGTTGGCCAAAAAAGTGTCCTGTTCTCCTCAGCTTTTCCAGCTTGCTGTCTCCACCAGCTCCTGTTCTGCAGTGTCAGCTCCCACAGAAGGAGCTCCCAGACACCACCAGCCTTTCCCCTGAGTGCTCACTGCATCTCTGGCCTCAACCTGAAGGTTCAGCACCTGGACTTGATGATCTTAAAAGGTCTCTTCCAACCCTGATGATTCTACATTCCAGACCCTGGGACAGAGTCTGTTCCTGTCAGGTCAGTTGCACTAATTCCTGCATGGGAGATCAAATTACCCTGGGGGGTGTTTGTCAGAGGAGGAAGAAGAGGCCTATGGTCTTTTCTGGGTCTGCTGCTCCCTGGGCAACACAGCCTGACTGTCCCAGTGGATCTGCCACTGCTCTGGAAGTGATTCCATTTCTCAGCTGGTGCCTTGAGAAAAATGATGCTTCAAACATGGAGAATAACATCACAGTTCTGTATTTATTTATTTGAAAGTACAACTTGCAGTTTAAGTAAACTCTCATCACTAGGATGACATATTAATGTGTTTAATGGAAACCTTCCTTTTTGGGCTATTTTTTTTAGCTTAAAATTCTCTGTCCAATTCAGTGTTTTGTTGCAATAGTGAAAACCTTTACTGTGTCACTGGACTCAGTAAAGTCAGATGCAAGTTAACAGGCTGTGGCACAGGGGAGACATTACCCAATATGGACTGAAAATGAAAACTGCTCTTAACATGTATAACCTCAGTGCAGGGATGGCAGGAAAAATCTCCTCTTAAAAACACTTAGATACTATTTGTTTTTTCAGCTTTAAAACCTCTGTTGCAAGTTACCCTCACAAGGGCCAGGACAAGATATTTCCACTCACCATATTTTACGATAAGCATCTGCTTAGCAGCCACAGAGGCCACTCCAGGCAGCACTGGGGGAACATAAATCTAAAAGGGTGTTGGGGAATCTCAATCATTTCCCTGTGGAAATGGATTTGAATGCCCAGAGACATGGGGAAGCTGTTTAAATCTCCCCAGAGCAATTACAACCCTGGGAGCACTAACTCCATGTTCACAGCTCTATGTTAATTGAACTGAGCCACCAACTCCTGGCACTCCTGGTCTTTCTACTCATGCTGGGCAGGAAGCACACCTGGAAATACTCCCTAACTCACAGCAAACCAGTTCCTGATTGTGAGTACCTTACTGACTCATATCATAGAACCACAGAGTCATTAAGGCTGGAAAAGAACCTCCAAGATCATCAAGTCCAACTGTGAATTGAATACCACCATGCTCACTGACACATCATCCAGGGACATGCCATCCTAAGCTTTAAGAGCTGCCAAAATTCCAAAGTTGAGATTACTGTCTCCTACAGCAAGAATAGATCATCAAGTCCAACTGTGAATTGAATACCACCATGCTCACTAACACATCATCCAGGGACATGCCATCCCAAGCTTTAAGAGCTGCCAGAATTCCAAAGTTGAAATCACTGTCTCCTACAGCAAGAACTCCCTTACCTTGGTGGCTCAGTGTGGCCTCAGCTGCAGAGGGAGGGTGATGGGGAAGAGCAGAAATGTCCCCCATCAACCCTGTCAGATGGACCCTTGTGCTCAGCAGGACTGTCTAGAGCAGAGGGTCCCTGCAGTGTGTTTCCCAGTGCTGTACCAAAGCACACCAAGATCTAACTGAGCACCTGCAGGAGCCCATGGGAGCAGGATGGTGACAAGAAACAGACCATCCTGGCTGGCGTGATCTTTTCCCCGCTCCAGCTGAGACCAAATCTATTTGCAAAGACTCCCCAAAGCCCAAGCAGCACCAGGACACCCATCCCACCCCAGCACTTACATAGTGCCCCGTGGTGGGAGTGCTCTCCAGGGCTCCGTTGGTGGACTCAGCAGCTTTGCTGGAGTCGATGCTCTTGTCCTGCGCCTTTCCCTCCTCCTTCCTGCTGCTGCCACCCTGGCCTGGCAGTGCCACCTCACCCACACCCAACGCCTCAGCCTTGTACTTCTTCACAAACTCCTCCATCAGCTTGTGCTCGCCGTCGGCGAGGCCGCGGCACTGCGCGGGGTCCTGGTCGTACAGGGGCAGTTGTCTCACCAGTTGCCGCCGGCGCTGGAGTGCCCCGTCCGTCCCTGCCACTGGCTGCAGCTCCTTTGGGATCAGCTCCATGTACTGCATGGCCTGGGGGGAGACAGCACAGTCACCCTCAGCTGCCTGGGCAGGGAAGCACAAGCAAGATGCTCCACTCACCTTATGGGGTGGTGGAAAACATGCTCCTTTCCTCTCTTCTCCCTTTGAGGGGTTTTAACCCACAGCTTGGAAATAAAAAGCTGAACTGGTTCAGATGGCAGTGACAGCCAAGCATTTCATCCTCAGGAAACAGATTGGGTGGGTTTTGTTGGGGTTTTTTTTTTAATTGTTTTTGTTTTTTAAAGCCTGGCTTGCCCAGGAGAGCAAAGCAGCCCAGACAGTCATGCCTCCCTGGTTCACGCTCAAATCCCAGCACAGCCTCCCTCGCTGGCATTAGCCTGACACCTTTCCATGGAATTTGACAACAAGGCTGCTGAACAGGCTAAGAACACAAACATCAAAACCCAAGATCAGCTTCCTACTGCCTTGTGCCAGGACAGGGAGAGCTGCAGGGAGTGGGTCACAGGCTGCACTGGGAGCACCCCAGAGCCCCCCAGGGTTGCATGCACTGCAGTTTACAGTAAAAGATCCCCTTGTATCAGCTAAAAAATATTATCATAATCCAAGAAGAATTCAGCTAGCAATCAGCCTGTAACACTGACAGCCACCAACTCCACCCCAGTGCTGATTTCGCAGCAGAGAGTGTTTGGTCACTGGTGCCCTGTGACTTGGAAAGGAAATGCCACAACACCTTCCAAAATAAAGTCTCCTACTCAACTGGGCACTGCCTTAAAGTCAGAGTAAGCTATGATCCTGCAAGAGGCCTGTTCCAGGCTGGATCATGCAGGACATGGGGGATGCACAGTTAACTTCTCCAGGCCAGGGCTAAGGAAAGGGAGTTTCCCACTCCGGGAATTTTTCCTATTGTAGTGTGAAGAGCTCCAGGGCAGCCAGTTGGCTCCCTGCCATTCCCTGTTAGCCCAGCATCCAGCTGCATTACATTTGCTTCTTACTGGGTCAGCACTTGAAAACTCCATTTAAAAACCTTAGCAAAGGGATTAACTGTTTGTGGCACATTGGCTGGTTCAGGCTGAGCTCTTCAATACAGGAAGGTGTGCCCAGCACTGAACAACTCAGCACCTAGGGAAAAACTTCCAAGTTGCTTCCACCTTGGCTACTTTCAGTTAGAGAGAAGTGCTGCAGGGCAGAATTCCTGCTTGGAGACTTGCAACAGTAACAGACAATGATTTAAGGGATGCAAGGCATCTTCCTCATGTCTTGGGGTGCAGGTGAAAATCACTGTGCACACATATTGGATATCAACACTCAGTACATGTGTCCCTGTGCAATGGCAGGGCTGAGGGCCTGTTTCCTGGGAAGGTTGTTACCCTGTGGGAGAAGGTGCTGCTTGGGAACAGCTGGAGAGGTGCAGGATGCTGGGGGAGTGATCTGGTACACCAGCAGCTTTCACAGGAATCCTCACAGGAATGACAGGAGAAAGATGCAAGAATTCCCTGACAGCTCCTCCTGGGCTCACACAGGCACTGCCTCACAAAATAAGGGCACTGACAGTGGTATGTGGCAACTGGAAACAACTGAAGCTGTGTGACCAGGAGCACCAGGACAGCACATGCTCTTCAGCCACAGCACGAGCTCTAAGAGAGTAGTAACATGATGAGATATTAATGGGAGAAATCTTAATCCAATACAAACGTGCCAAGACTGATGAGCACTCACACCAGATGAGAACTGCACTGCACCAGTGTGGGCACCTGGAGCCTCCTATTCCACTCCAGCTCCAGCCTCTCCATTCCCAATACAAACTCTGTGCTGAGAGCAAGGACAGCAAAGCCTCAAGCCTTTCTTTGAGTCTGCTCAGGGGCAGGATTCAGCATCTGCCCACACATGTGGTGGGATTTCACTCCCTCAGCAAGAGAGCGCCTGAAGTTATAAGTGCAGATGTCATAAAAATGTGTCCAGAGAAAAAAACAGGGAAAAAACCTCCAGCCTGACCTCAAACACTGGCAGGAAAAATAAGAAGTTGCTTGTCTGCTGCTACCATGTATTGTCATGGTCAGTGCTTTACTATGCCTGAGTGCAGGTAATTTTGAGGAAGAGCTTTTTAGGTTTTTTCACTGGTCACTACTGGATTTTGGAGCTATTTTATGAGCTGTTCTTTTCCCATTTCCATTCTCCAAGGACCCTGAGCATCTACCTTATAACTTCTCCAGGCATGGCTTAATGAGAACACACTCTGAACTTCCTCCTATTATCCACCATCCACTTCAGCACAAGGTTAAAAGCCATCCCAAGTTTCCAGGCTGCCTGCAGAAGGAAACCACTGGAGCGAGGCAGCTATGCACTCACAGCTTTCTGGCCCAAATCCCCTTTAAAGTACCCCGAGAGTGGCTGACATCCAGCACTTCTCCTCGGTTTGTCAAGCTGATCTCCAAGCCAAAATTTATCAAGGTTGTCTCCAAAGCTCCTGCATGTTGTTTACTTGAACAAAGATATATTCCAGCCTGTCCAGGCACTATAAAGAGATCAAAAGCTTTCATAAAGTTCTTGAACTCTCACCATGAGGGAGGAGGGGCTGGGCTGGGGGCTTGGATTTGGATCCAGCCCTCGGCACAGGACCACACTCTCCATCTCCCTTTTTTATCCTGACTTCTCTTTACAAAAAAACCTTTTTATTTGGACCAGATTATGTTTTAAATCTAAGGAAAAAAAAAATTCCCAGCTCCAGAAGTTCTGGGACAGGCTGCCTCAGCACAGGGGCATGAGAGTCCCTGGGCATGGGGCTCTGAGCCCACTGCTCCTGGGAGAACATCCTCCAGCAGCAAAGGGATACACTGGGAGTTGGGAAATCCCAGGGCACAACCCAGCTGCACACCCAGCACCGTGCTGCCCACCACCATGAGAAGTCAAATCCCCTTCCCACTGCTTCAATTTGCCTAGCCCAGACAGGCCAAGAAGGCCCAGAGGAATCACTCCCACATCCAGCCTGGGGCTTGGAGTGGGCAGATGCCAGTGTGGGCTGTGCAGGGCTGCAGGACAGCAGGGATGGGATCTCTCCTCAGCAATGCTTTTACTGGATATGAGCTTTACCAAAAGATTGAGCTTTTCACTTGTAAAATCCATTAAAACTTCTCCTAGAAATGTAAACAAACCTATAAAACCCGAAGGCATTCCATCCCCCTCTCCTACCCACTCTGCTTATTTACACAGTTTTCCAAAACACAGACTGCTCCATACATTTCTGCTCTCTGAGGCAAACCCTATGATTTACTATTTTTCCCCCAATAGCTTCATTCCAGAGCCAAGTTCTACCCCTGAATGCTCCTGCTCACCTAATCCAGCGACCCAAGCACTCCCCCAACACACTGTAGGTCACCTTACCAGCTTCTGGGCGAGCCCTGGGGGTGCCCACTCGTAGGTGATGGTGTCAAAGGTGGGGTCCTTCCCCGAGATGTTGGGGTTGGTGACGATCATGCGGTTCCTCTTGTAGATGCGGACGCCGTCGCCGCCCTTGAGCCGCGCGGTCAGCGTGGCGTACTTGGAGTCCGAGAGCAGGCGCCCGATCTTGCGGTCATCCTCCAGCTCCGAGCTCAGGCTGTGCTCCTCCTGGCTGCATTTACAGGACTTGCAGATCTTCCTGGGGGTGTGGGACAAGAGGTCATCCTTCAGCTGGGCCGTGGGAGGTGTGTGAGCTCAGCCATGCAGTGTCAGCCTCTCCCAAGGGTTAAGCACAGGTGACAGCATGAGACAACAGGCTCCTGTGGCCTGAGCTGTGTGCAGGAACTGTGCACGGTTCATGGGGTGGTTTGGGTGGGAAGGGATCCTAAAGACCATCTTGTTCCACCCTGGGACACCTCCCACCAGCCCAGGCTGCTCCAGCCCCATCCAACCTGGCCTGGAACACTCCAGGGATGGAGCAGCCACAGCTGCTCTGGGCACCCTGTGCCAGAGCCTCAGCACCTCACAGGGAAGGATTTCTTCCTACTCTCCCATCTAACCCTGCCCCCTGGCAGTGGGAAGCCATTCCCTGTATCCTGGCACTACAAAGATTGCTGCTTCCCACACATGGGAAACTTTGAGAACCCCTTCAAGCATCACTGTGTTGGAGATTAATCCCCTCAGCAGTCTGCAACAGCCCAACACCAGCCTCACCTCTTAGGCAGCTTTACATGCCATTAAAAATGTGACTCCTAGAAGGAATCGATGCTTAATTGACTATAATTTGAATGATAATAGCTACAAATCATGCAGACAAGTGTCTAAGGCCACTCTCTGCTGGCCAGCATTGCCATCAGATGCTGACACCAAAAGGGACAAAAGAACTCTGACACAACCCTGAGGATTTTGGCAGGGTCCTGGAATGAGAATGAACCAATTTGAACAGACTCAATTTAAAGAAGGTAGTTCTTTCATCAAATGAGTGTCTTAAAGTTTGGATTTCACACAGCTGAGGTACCAAAACTGGGAGGGGAAGGTATCTGAGGCATTCCAGCTGCAGCCAGCACAGCTGGACCACAGGCTCCCCACGCAGCCCCTGGAGCTCTCCAGGCACACAGAAAGGAGCTCAGTGTTTGCCAGACAGCTCAGAGGGCACTAACTCTTTTTAATTAGTCACATCTGGATGTCTGCCTTTCATTTCAAAGCCCTTTTTGTTGTCCTGTTAGGGCAGGGAGCAGTCCCCCCCACCCCTGCCCTAACTTTGTGCCATCTGCAAACTTGCTGATGGAGCACTCAATCCCCTCACCAAAACCATCAATACCAACAGGACCAAGGGACAGTGGCCAGGCAGGGCCCATTCAGGACAGGACATTACCTCCAGGAATGTGGCTCAAAGCCTGTGCAGGTCCCTCTGCAGCGCAGACAAGGTACACCTCTCCCCACCTGTGGCTGCAGCCCCGACATCTGCAAAGGAGAAGGACACAGAGTTGAAAGGCTTTACCTTCAGAGGTTATCAGAGACAGCACTGACAGTGTGCTCTGGCCTTCAGACATTGATTTCTTCAACCACTCCCTGTGCTGCCTGAGGCCTCAAACCTCCCAAACACCATTTGACCATATCCATGCAGCCCTGCTACAAGTTTATTTAAGGATGCTTAGGATGAAGGTTCTCACCTCACAGTGAGGGAAGATGGAACAGCTCAGAGGGGATGGCACATCCACTCCAGTGAACATGCCCACACACTGGGCAGCCACCTGAACCTCATCCAGAGAGCTCAGGTCTCATTTAAAGGTGCTTTTGTCTCAGTTTATATATTGCACATGAACCTGTGCAGGGCAGAAGCTCATGCAGGAGACACAGGGGTGTGTTACCACAACCTGATGCTAAACTTCCTTTATTGCAGCTTGAACCTCCTTGATCTTTCTCCAAGTGTATTTTGGGAATGTGGCATGTTTCCATGCCTCTGGCCCTGGGGTTTATGGGTGGTTTCCATAGTGAAGAGGAAACACAGTGGGGAGAGGCTGTGGGGTGGAGGAGGTGGTGGTGGTGGGACATGGAGGGTGTGGGGCTCTGGTTGTGCAGCACTTTCTACTGCTCACTGAACACAGAATGAAGTCACTTACACCCATGGGTGCTCAATGCTGCTAACAACCTCCCAACAGGGGAGAGACAAGAGCAAAAATCCATACCAGGAGCCAATAACATTGGAAAATAAACCTATTTTAGTGTCTGTCCCATTAATTTATCAACATGGCTTTCTGAATGCAAAGAACGCAGGAGGGTTCTGTGGGAGAAGAAAACAAAGTGCTGCAGGAGGCATCAGGGCGAGGTGACACCATGAGATGCTGAATTTATCTCAGCTTGGATGTTTATACAGGAGCTGTCAGGCTCCTGCCTGAAAGACATGTTTGTTCCCTGTAAAAATGAGCTGAAGGAAAACAAGGACAGTCCCACAGCAGCAGGAGCTATGGCAGCACCACAGGAACATTGCCACAGTTCAGCAGATCAGATCCTGTGCACTCAGGGATTAAACTGAAGTGTTTAATCCACCATCCACCTCCCCAAAACCCAACACTCTTGGTCCCCAAGAAGCATTCCCAAGTGTTAGGCTTGTGCCTAACCACTTTAGAGCTCACAGTCTGCATTTCCCACTAGGGCTCGTGACACGCACAGGGCTTACACCTCCTGGCCCTTTCTGGGGACATGCATCAAGTTTTGGAGAAGTTCTTTAACCCCTCTGAGACACAGACTTGTTCTAAGCACTGACTATTCATTCCTGTACACACTGAGAGCTCATCAATCACAGAATATCCTGACTTGGGAGGGACCCACAAGGACCATCCAGGTCCAACTCCCTGGTCTTGGGATGGGCTTGAGAGCTCAGACTCCAGCAGAGCACAGGTGAGGCTACAGAGGTTCCCAGTGCTGGAGAAAGCTGGTTCCATGCAAGCTGAATCTAGTCTGTGCATGTCTGTGTTGTGACAGCCTTCCATTACAAGATCACACACTGTTTAAATCACTCTTTGCTACATTGGCAGAGGTTGCCCTTGCCAAAACTAATTTTCCAAAGGAGGGAACACCAGTGCAAGAAAGATGCTGCTCCCCAGCCCCATGAGGACCTTGGGCTGACCTGGGCCACTGTCCTGGCTGTGTCCAGCAGCTCCAGGCTCTGATCTCCGCTCAGATCCAAAGCCAGTGATGGTGCTGGCAGCTCTTCTCCTCCTGCATCAACCTGTGCCACTTCCAGCACCACCTCCCAGGTTCCTCTAAGCTCCCACATGCACCCTGAGGTCTCCTCTGACATTCCAACTCATTCTGCAGGAGGGAAAGGTTATTTGGTGGCACTCAGCTAGGAAAGACATCTCATGTACTTGGAGAACATGGTGTTGCTAGTAAGGATGAAGATTCTATGAACAGATGTTCCAGAAATAAGCAGATGTTTGTTTGCCAGTGTTAAGGTAGATGACAGGCCTTTACATGCCTACTTTTTTTGCACTGAACTATTAAGCCTCCACACAAAGCTGATCATCCTGGAGAAACAGTCCAAAGGATATGAGATGACCCATTTCAGCTCTCCTTGCCCCAGGAATGCTGTTTCATTTCTACCTTACCTTTCCCCACTAGTTCTCATCTCATTTTTCACCTGCAGTTTGTCCTGATATTTTCAAGCCAGTGAAAAGACAATTCCACCCCAGGAGTTCATAAAAATACATCTTAAAATGGTCTTGACATGCCCAAACATTCCACTCTACCTCTAATACCCAGCAAGAGAGGATGGCTTTGGTTCTTCAGTAATGTGCCAGCTCTCCAGGACAGATGAAGACATTTTAGATTCCCACAGACCACTCACAATCCTGCCAGGTCTGGAACTGTGTGCCAGGTCCCAACTGATGGGGTTTAACTGCCTCTGACTGTAGTGAGTCAGACAGAAGCTGAGTATCAGCAAGGGACTGTGAGTGGTGGTTTATTTAAAATGCAAACATCTGGATTAAATAAACTCATTTGGAAAAGGTTCATTACACACGAGGGGAATAGCACAGGGAAAAGCAGGGTCAGTATCAAGAATCAGAACATGAACCCCCCAAACCAACCTGACACTTTGGAGTCCCAGTGAGTGTCAGTGCAGAGCTCACAGCCCTTTGGGGTGGCACCAGTGATGTCCACATGGAGACACAAACCCCATGTGTCACTTCCTTGCTCCAGTGTGAACAAGCCCCTTCCTTGGTAATTTATTCTCCTTGTCCAAACATGCCTTCTGTGTCCTGTCCCAGGTCCAAGTTTAATTGAGGTTAACTGCTCTGTGCTTCAAACGCTGCCAGCAATGGCTTGGGCATGGCTGTCCCTTGCCAAGGGTGGGGAGAACATCCTGCAGCCCACAGCAGGCAGAGCTGGGGTCCCATGGGTGGTCCCACACCACCACAGATGACTGTGAACATGAATTAACAGCTCACAGACAGATGGACAGACCCAAACAGTGCTCCTGGCCCTAGGGGCCTTTGGCTATCAACAAAACCTGAGGATCCATTTCCTCAAGGCAAAACCAAGGAAGTCCTGGCCATTACCTCTGGTCATATACAGCTTCAGACACACACAGGAGACCTGGAGAGCATCCCTCCCACCCTGCACTGCTTAGCCAGGACCAGAGCACATGTCTCTGTGACCAGGAGCTCCAGATCTGAGCTTCAGACTATAACCAGTGAGGTTGTAGACTCCCCATCCCTGCAAGTGTTCCAGGCCAGGTTGGATGGGGCTTGGAGCAACCTGGGCTAGTGGAAGGTGTCCTGGCCCATGGCAGGGGTCAAAACAAGATGATCTTTAAGGTCCCTTCAGCCCAAACCATTATAGGATCCCATGATAGACCTCAGGAACTCCTGTTTGCAGCTATGAGTACCATGAGGCTCCTCACCACACTCCTCATGGGTTGTGATGGCCCAGGTGGGTCTGTATGTGGAGGAGAGCATTATTCCTTGCTCCCTTGGAAGCAGAGGGAGGTTTGAGCCACTCTCACTCCCATCCCTGTGCAGGGGCCAAACACAACAGGCACTGCTGCCTGGTCAGCAGCACATCCTGCCCAGACACTGAGCTTCCCCTCTCTGCTCTGGCTCCTCATAGGCATAAAAGGAGATTTCTTAAAAAAAAATATGCAAGCCTGCAAAAACCCAAACCCAGTCAGATAATGTGAAACAAATGCTCTGACTGCCTCAGGCTCCACCTATACCCATCCAGGAACTGCAGCTGAAGTTTGGCATCACCTTAAGATAAAGAGTTTGAAACATTTGTAATGCTTTTAAAAAAAAATTAAAAAAAAGACAAATCAGGCCTGTGTCAACAAACTGCTTGAAGCAAAGCAAATCCTGCTCACCAGGACTAGACACTCCTTTCAACATCCCTGTTTTGGCCTTCTGTGCCTCACAGCATTCTTGCTCTTAGAAGGGAGAAAGCAAGTCAGGGCAGAGGAAATTCTTGGGTAGTGAAATGATAGAGAATTGAGGCCATTCTACCCACAAAAAAAGTCTCTGAGCAATCTCAGGCACAGTCTGGTAATGCCATGGTTTGCTATCACACTGGCCAAAGGCAGAACCATCCATTCAATGGCTGGAAAACAGAGCCTGTCATGCCAAGTGACAAGGAAAGAGCCCAAACACAGCTCCACCTCGGTTCAGAGCTTGAGGGCTCCTCTGCAAAAGAGCACTGAGCATAAGGGCCAAGCTGCTTTTTGGTGACACTTGGTTTTCTTCCTTTTCTTTTGCTGTTAGACTGCTCCTTACAGCATCTCCACTGAGGCACAAGGCACACACAGTCAAGATGTGATGAACCAGTTTTCACCTCCAGCAGGAGAATGAGACACGTCATGACTGCACAGACTTGGGACTGGGTTAAGTGACAAGCAAGGTGGAACCAGGAGAGCAAAACCAGCTCCAGCTCCCCAAAAGGGATTTGGGGACACACTGCCATGGCTGCAGCTCTAGAAGGGACCAGCAAACAGAGCCCTCCTGCCTCCACAGAGCTTTCTAGATCCTGAGAGCACTTATTGCACAACACCCTATTTGGAGACTGAAAATGGTGCTAGAGACACGTAACTACCTCAAGTATGTTTTCTCCTCCTTTTTAGGGAGGGAAGGAGAAAAACTGGTTTCCAGAAAGTGACTCCAAGTTCACAGCAGCCCTTCACAGTGAAGGTCCTCATCTCACCTCTGCTTGCAGTCGGAGCACTCCCCAGCACCCACGGCAAGCTCCAGCCAAACCCTTTCCTGCAGCCTCTGCAAGACCCTCCTGCAGCCTTAGCATTGGATGCTCTACCCCTAAATCACAGCTGGGGCAGAGGACAGCTCCGGGAAGGCTGAGGGACCACATGAGCCCTTTGGGTGGGTTCCATCAGCTGTAACGAGTTTTGGAGATTAACAACCCTAACTCTGACACAGATCCTTGAACAAAGGAAAAGGAAGAAGTCACACAGTATTCAC